AACACCCTTCTTGGTATGTAATAATTCTTACTTCTTAAAATGTCATTTTAAACAAACTCAGTTTATCAAAACAATAATTATTTAAAACCAAAACAGTACTGATGAATAAAGTAAAAAGTCCTATAAATATTTGCGCATCATTTTGATGAATAGAAGTCAAAACACCCCACAAAAAGACCAAAAAAGAGGAGGTATGAGCCTATGATCTTACCAAAAATATGAATATGTAAATTTATATTTTGGTTTCACAATTTTAGTTTTCTTAGTAATACTTATAAGTTATATTCAATTTGTGTTACCAGCAAATATTCTTTAGGTGATCCTGCGAAAAGTGTGGTGAATTATATTATTTACGCTAATTAATTATGTATATAACTTAAACTCTACTCACTTTAATTTTTTTGAGTGATCAGTGAATATGCCAAAATATTTTTTAAAAGTCGATACTTTGGACAGTAAATGAAGAATAAGTAAAGGGTTGAGAAATTAATAATAATAAAATTGAACTCAACAGTTGAATAATTATTAAAAAGAAAAGTTCAAGTCCTTCATTTAATTTTATCCATTTTTCTCCTCATAGAATTACAATCTCTAAAAGACGTGACAACGCGCACAGAAAACTATTTAGATTGAGACTTTCTCCTTATAAAGTTTTATTACATCAGATGAGTTCTAATAATTGTCACTACTTTGGCCTTTCAGTTTGATGGACAACTGAAATTGGTAAAAGAAGAAAACAAATATTCTAAAAAAGTTAAACCATGCACAACAAAAAAAAGATCGTGTAGAAAAGCGTGTGGCATATTACTGTAAAAAATACTACTTAATAATCATGGAGTATAACATATGCATTGGCGTATTGGCCAAGGTCTTGGGGCAGGTAAGACATGCCTGGCAAAGGTTTGACAAGGCAGTGTGGGAAAGTTGGGGCGGCATGGCATGTGCGCCAGAGCCAGTGGTACTAGCACTTTGGGTTGTGGCAGTGTCAAGTCCGGGCTAAGATATAGCAAAGCAATGCAGAATGATAGCGAAGAATTTTAATAGCTAAGACAAGGCTATGTGAAGCAAAATACAAGTAATGGCACGGGTGAAACAAGGGTTGACATAGACAAGGCAGAAACTCAACCAAGGCGTGTGAGGGCGATAGTGGCGTTGTGTGTGCCAAAAAATCAAGGACGGCAGGTTGCAAGCAAGGCATTGGTGCGGAGCAATGTTAAAGGACCAAGGATGCCAACCTTGGGCGTGCAACAAATGACCAAGTCAAAGATCACATTGAGTCCACATGCCAAAGTAGTTGGCGGTTACCTTTTTGTAACTACTTGTACCCATGACTGCTTATGCTTGTATCTACTATAATTTCGTGTAGATTATGGCCTATATAGTTGAGGATGTCAACTACAAGATAGGAACAAATTTAGTATTAGCCCACCAAGTGTCAAAAGCTGTAGGCAACAAGTGTCAATGTGCTGTCAAGTGCCAAAGGCTGCCTGCGTGCTATAAATAGGTGCCTTTCAATTTAGTGAGATGTGTGTGTGGAATTTCATGTGAAATTCAAGAGGGAAACATGAGTGAAACGTGAGAGTTTCTAAGTGTTTCAAAAGTGACTAAGGCTAGGTATTAGGCGGGTCTTAGTATTGGCTAAAGAACAATTTGTGTTATTTGTCAAAGTGGGGCTTTAATCAACTTGAGATCATAGTCAAGTAAGAGTTTCATTTGTAAGTTTTTGAATTAATACAAAGGTTGGGGATTTTCCGTATTTGATTGTGTTCTCGTTATATTTGCTGCCTAAAATAATTCTAAGTACAAACTTTGCTGAAAATTTGGCTAAGTGTTGGGAAGGCTGTGTCAAGTGCGTAACTTGATTGCCACGCAGGAGTGAGTTTGGCCTGACTAAAAATGCCCCCATGACACATTCTGCGGTGGAAGGGGTTTAACGATTGAAGGGTATGTTTAACAACTTTATCAACAGTAGGGGAATTTATGTTTGCAAAGTATAACGAAGGCTATGATATGTATTTAAACACTTGTACCGAGTGTTTACACATAACTAAACAATCCAAAACTCATCAAAATGTGTTTAAGAATAAAAAAATCATAGTAAAATGTATTTCAGTCAACTATAATATAATTATAAGATATAATGTTTTAGATTTATTGGCTTGATTTAAACACCCTTCTTGGTATGTAATAATTCTTACTTTTTAAAATGTCATTTTAAACAAACTCAGTTTATCAAAACAATAATTATTTAAAACCAAAACAGTACTGAAGAAGAAAGTAAAAAGACCTATAAATATTTGTGCATCATTTTGACGAATAGAAGTCAAAACACCCCACAAAAAGACCAAAAAAGAGGAGATGGAAGCCTATGATCTTACCAAAAATATGAATATGTAGATTTATATTTTGGTTTCACAATTTTAGTTTTCTTAGTAATACTAATAAGTTATAGTCAATTTGTGTTACGAATAAATATTCTTTAGGTGATCCTGCAAAAAGTGTGAAGAATTACATTCTTTACGCTAATTAATTATGGATATAACTTAAACTCTATTCATATTAATTTTCTCGAGTGATCAGTGAATATGCCAAAAAACTTTCTAACAGCCGATACTTTGGACAGTAAACGATGAATAAGTAAAGGGTTGAGAAAATAATAATAATAAAACTGAACTCAACAATTGAATAATTATTAAAAAGAAAAATTCAAGTCCTTCGTTTATTTTTATCTATTTTTCTTCCTCATAGAATAAAATCTCTAAAAGATGTGATGACGCACTCGGAAAATTATTGGATGGAGACTTTCTAGACGTTAACTAATAACATCTTGTCACATAAATTAATATGTTATCAGAGTAAGCAGGAATTAAACTCTCATCATTGGCACCCGTCATCAAAAAGAATTCACATGTTTGTCCAATTAAAAAAAATGATCTAATCAGATAAATAAAAGTGGTGTAATCTCGTAACAATTAGACGAGTTGATCACATAGTTAAATAAAAATGATCTTCAGGTATACTTCGCTGATTTCGTAGTTATAAAGTAAATAATAGAAGAGCTAGTAGTATAACTGGTAAGTTAAACAAATAAGTAATAAGTCTACAATTTTAGAAATATTTTGCTGTTTGTTGCCTTTTTTATGACCTACCACTTCAAAAAAGTACTATATACTAGTAGATTTTAATGTATATACTATTAATATGCGAACATTGGATAAATATAGGATAAGAATCCTATGTTTCTGACAAGATTGTAGACTGGAATTCATTCTTAAAACAAACCAAAAACGAAAAAAAAAAAATGAAAATTTTCAAATTTTTTGTTGAGGTGACGAAAGAAACGGTGCATGTGGATTAAAGACAACTAACATGCTGTTGTGGGGTTCCATTGTTAATACTCTTGAAGAAAAAGACATTTAATGTTATTTTTCTTGCATTTTTTTGTATCTGTTCTTCTTAAATTTTTGATGAAATTCATGCATCTCATGTTAATTATGACAAGGAATGTGTGCTTATAAGTTTTATTTATTTATTTATTTATTTATTTATTTATTTTGTACAAGGAATTCTGGAAAAATGTGTAGCCTCTCTAACAAGAAGAAAAGGTTGTCTGCATTCGCCTTTCCACGAACAAGTCTTTTATCATCTAGCGAAAGAGAGTGAGTAAACAAAGAGGATTTAGAAATGTTTTGGAAATTTTTTTTTGGTCTCCCGTGCCCCACTTTGGGGCACGACTAATTTGAATTCATGCGGGATAGTTTCACTTTATGAGGTCAAATATTTGTTACTAAAAGCAACTCTATAATCAGTGCTTGAACTCGCGATTTTTAGTCAAAATGGATGAGTACTTACTACTTTATCATAAACTTTGGTGTTTCCTTGTCTTTATTTGATTTCATCTTTAGGAACATGCACACGAGGTTTACAATCCAAAAACTCTCAAGTAATCATAAGAAATATCTTTGGCAAACCAAACCTTATTTGGAACATCACTATCCAAGGCAATAATAGGAGACAAATTAATAACATAAGCAACAACATTAAGTGCTTCCAACCAAAAAGTATTTGGAAATTTAATCTCTGAAAGCAAGTATCTAACTCTCTCTACTCGAGTTCTGTTCATCCTCTCTACCAAATCATTCAATTGAGGTGTTTTGAGTGGAGTTTTCTGGTGACGAATTCTTTGTTCTCTGCAATATTTATCAAACGGACCACAATATTCATCACCTCATTAAGAGTAAAATAAATATTTTAAAGTTAGTCGGTACTACTAAAAATAGAAGAGTGTCACATAAATTTGGATGGAGAGTAAGAAATTTTAAAATTTATGAGCGGAAATAAGTCATAGCATTTATAAACACAAAAAATTAATACTTTTTTATATTTAATACTAACAATTCAACTTTAAAATGCTTATACTACCCTTATGAGATGATGTGTAGCCATACAAATATTTATATCTTATTTTATATCACAAGTTATAATTGTTTTTATTTCTTTCTTAATTTTGTGCCAAGACAAACACCATAAGATAATTTGGGATGGAGGGAATAACAAGTTATTTAACATTTTTTAGGTTATTTAATTAAAGTTATTACAAGCAATTAGTAAATATCTTGTAAATAATATGATTGTGCATATATAATAGTTAATGAACTTTATAAAATAATGATTTACAATAATAATTAAAATAACATATCAGTATTTGACATTGATTATTTTTTTTAAAGTATAAAAATTGGTATAGCCTACACGAACAATGCAACTTATTGTTCATTTAGAGGAGGACAAGAACTTTAGAAAAGAAAATACTACACAAGTTATGCATTATTTGTTTCTTTTTATTGTAGTGTATTTTCTATATATAAATAAAAATGTGTATTTATAATGACCGCGAAGAGTGAAAATTTTCGCGCCTTTTTCGTAAAACTCAACTCAAGAAATTTTAATTGAAAGTAAACATAAACCCTTAATTTATTTTCCATATATTTACTCTTTCACGGCCCCATATTCCCACTTCGCCGTTGGTTTCCCTTAATTTTATTCGGTAAAAAAAGCATAAAAACTGCCACTACAAGCATAGAATCCCCAATTCTTGTTGTTATCAGTGGACTGAATTTGGAGAATTCTTGTTGCATTTGCTGGCCTTTTTCTGTTTCTTCTCAAACGGTAAGAATGTTTTTTTTTTTTTTTTATATTTATTTTCCTTGTACTGTGTAACATTATAGTGTTAAATCTTTCTAGGTTTATCCTATTTTCCCTTATTTGCTTCATCAAAGGCACCAAAAAGATGTCTTTTTATATAAAAAAAATGTTCCTTCATTATTTGAAATAAAGGTGTAGGTGATATAATTTTCCAAGAATTTATGTATTCCCTGAAAAGTGTTGTATTTAAATGGAGTAATGTGGTCAGTGAAGATCTATAAGGCTGATCCAACTTGTTTGGAACGGAAGCCTAGTTGCCGTTGTTAAGTACAAAATAGGTGACATATGTTAATTGTACAAGGCATGATAGAGTAGAGGTGGACCTAGGATTTAAGTAGGACGGGACACTAATATCTTTACATATGCCAATTAGTAGTGACAAAATTTAGTGTGCAACTTTTTGCAAACGTAACAATTATGATAACTTATCATCGAATTACAAACTCTCAGTCGCTGTTGTCGAAGTCGGCAAATGTTGCTGCTTTGTCTAAAGTCATTGTTGAAGGGAGGGAGAAGAGTTCATATTTTTCTACTTGTGGAGAGAGGGGCTACACTTTGGGCCTTTTTTATTTTAAGGGAGAGGCTTCAAAACGAATAAAAAAAATTAAGTTGGCGACTAAGTATTAATGAATTCTAAAAAGTAAACCAATTGATTATTAAGTATAAATTATGGCTGGAATCAATAAAGTGAAACAAAAACATTAAAGATGCAGCTGTCAATTTTCGACAGAGGCCTCCAAGCATGTAGAAAGAGTTTAGCCATACACTCAACCAAAGCTACAAGGTCTCCATATATTTATACATTGTTTCTGCGTCTGTGTCATTATAAGTTTTTATAAAGTCTGCTACTACTATTCCTTTCCATAGGTCTATTACTGAGTTCCACATTTGTGGATCATAAGCCGCTATATTTAATATTTTACCCTTACTTCCTCCTTCCTGTAGTTTTATAGGTTTTTTTATAGGCATTCTTTTTCCCGATGGTTTTACATTTTCTATTTCTGTTTCTTGATCTATTCTATATACTCTTTTTCTAGGTACATTTCCTGTGCTAGTATCTATGGTACTTTGGTAAGTTGTTCTCTGAAATGGGCTTGGGCTATTTCAGATATATATATATATATATATATGTTTTTGCTGAGGCTAACGAGTTTAGGTAACCCCTCTACCCTATATGTAGGTCTGCCCCTGTGATAGAGTACTGATCATAGGGTCTTTATGATTTTTTTATTTATCTTAAAGTTTAACAATTCTGTCGAAATGTTGGTTAAAGCAAGAGAAGTTGAGATGCTTGTAAATGAAATTGACTTTTGCCAATAAGTAACTCAGGAGTGAGGTCATATTTCCCCTTTTGGTGGAAGAAGAAAATGATTTCAACAATCCAAGGTAAGCAAATACTATTGTTTGTGATACCAGACACATCCAAAATGCATGATTGCTAGCATCTGAAAAATATGCTCTAATCTTTAGTCATTTCTTGTTGATTCTTTGCTTGAATTGGAACCCCCCTCCAAACCCTCAACATCAAGTGCTGCAACGTTTCATATTTAGCCTAGTAGTGACATCATTTACGCATTTGGCTTGTTCAGGTTCTTCCTGCTTATTAGTATTATAGGTGATGATCGTTTGAGCTACAGCTTTAGGCTGCAAGTAAATTTTAAATCCAAGTCTTATTCAGTCTAGAATAGCATATCATATTTGCTAATTGTTTGCCATGCCTGTATCTATCAGGTCTGTTCGAGTTTGAAAACTGATTCATTGTTTTGTTCGTAGACTGACAATGGAGGAGAGCCACATAGATAAAAGACTTGTTGTTACTGCAGCGGTGGATGTCATCACTGGAAATGTTGACCTTTTATCTGAGATTCTACTCCGTTTGCCTGCAAGATCTCTCATCAAGTTCAGTCTAGTATGCAAACTTTGGTTCTCAATCATTAGCAGTATGCAATTTAGGGTTAGTCATTGTCGTACTCTTGCGTTTTCTAGTGCTCCAACCCCATCTGGGATCTACTTTTACAATTGCCTAACCAATCTCCAAAAAGTTGAATCCCTTCCACTCACAGATAATGTAACTAGCCTCCCTCCTCTTCAATTCCTTGAAGTGGCTGCAAATATAGGAGATGGGATCAAGGTTACACAGTCTTGCAATGGCTTGTTGATGTGTGTGATCTCCACCAAAACTGAAGTATCTGAACTCAAACTTGGTATCGTTTACAATCCTGCAAAGAATGAGTATCATAAATTGCCGAACCCCTATGTCATGTATTATGAAGTGGTTTATGGATATAGTTTGATATTTGATCCTTCAGAACCACCCTATTACAAAGCTTTGTGTATTAAGCGTTTGGGTACTACTTTTAAGGGTCACTTTTTTGGCACTTCAGATTATGAAGTGAGTGTGTATGTGCCAGGTAATAAGTCATGGAGATCTTGTTGTCGTTTCTCTCCACCTTATGGTATGCGCTTTGATAGTGGAGTCTTTTGGAATGGTGGAATTCACTGGACTGGTGAATACTCCTCCGTTTACTTTGATGCTAAATCAGAGGAAGTCGTTGTGAAAAATATGCCACCAAGACCTCAGGGATATTGTAGCGAAAAGGTTAGGTATTTTGGGGAATGGGGTGGGCATTTGCATCTTATTCAGGTTCAGAGCCTATATGCCAAGAAATTCAATGTGCTTGAATTAGACAAAAATACCTGGAAGTGGTCAGTAAAGTATCGTGTTCATCTTGCTCGGTTAATTTCAGCATTTCCTGAGATAGTTAAGCAGACATCATATGGCGCACAATATGCATTTTCCATTTTGTCTGTGATTCGAGGAGAGAGTGAAGAAGATTCAGTCCTTCTGCTAACTATTCCCGGAAAGGTGGTCGCCTACAACTTAGTGCTTAAAACTGCTAAAGTAGTCCGCGAGTTGCCTGGTGAAATAGGTGATACTTTACGTTTTAATCATGTTTGTGCTTATCAGTATGCTGAAAGTTTGATTCCAGTTAAAGATTGGACTATTCGTCCAAAATAGTGCTCGTAACAGCAGCTTTCAAGGACTTATCTTTCCTCTTTTGAGTTTCTTCTGGAAAAGGTTATCTCTTAGGTACTTCATGTGAAGACTTCTTCAAAGATGCTTGAAAACCTTAATATCAGTTCTTAGCTTTCGTTTTTTTTACTATCATTTTATCATTTCAGTAATAGAATTCGATTTTCATCTTCCTACTTCAGTATTGTCACAATATATTTTGTGGGCAACTATCTGCTACTCTTTGGTTGTTTGGTAGTCTGGTTTTGTCATTCCACTGCCTTGTTCGCTGCATCTCTAAGTTTTAATTTTCTTTTATAAATATAAATTTCCTTAAACTAGTCTCATGTTTGAAGGGAGTCTGGTTTTGTCATTAGCCACTAATGCTTGCATTATGTTAGGCTGTCTATATCACACCTTTTGGGGTGCGACCCTTTCCCGAACCTGCGGGAATGGAGGATACTTTGTGCAATGAGAATCCAAAAACTAAAAAAAGCTGGCTTCTTCTGCTGATTGGCTCCGAACTCCCAAGTTATGTTAACAGAGGAGGAGTGAGATATTTATAGAAGGACATTAATAAAAATATGGATTGTTACACTTGGAATTTGAGCTTGTGACCTTAAGTTAATTTTGAACTCCCTTTGTGTCTTCACTAGAATTTTCCCTTTATGTTTAGAGGATTTAACAATATATAACCAAAACAAATCGTTTTAGCATTATATAATTTTTCAACCCCTTCTTCCACCTAGATCTACCAAAGGTTATGTAGGTAGTTAATAGAAAGTGTAGGGATCTTTTACACAAAATCACCTATATAAGGAGTTTCTTCCACCTAGATCCATAAACACTTTTGGAATCTTTGACCAAGTAGAAGTGCGGCTTAAATTTTTGGAAAAGTGCTTTTCAAATTGAATAGCCAAATATAAATTACTATTTTTTAAAAATATTTTTTTTGAAAAGTACTTTTGAATTTTGACAAGAAGCATTTCTCAACATAAGTAAAATTTAGAAGCTCATCCAGATATATTATTATTCCCATAACATTGATTTTTTGGAAACCTACATGAGAAAAGTGAGAAAATAACAATAGCATACCCATGTAATCTATCCCTAAAAGTGAGAAAACATTCTTAGGATATTTCATTGCAAAATTGAATTTTTTTCACTTTTCTGGGGCATGATTCAAATCCCCCACTTTTTAATTTCACTTTGCTTAAGTTCTTGATAGTGGACAATAAGTTGCATTACTCGTGTATGTTATAGTGGTAAATTTTCACGTAGTTTAAGATTTTTTTTAAATTTTTTATTTTATCTCAATTCATATGATGATGTTTGATTGGAACAGGGTTTAAAAAGAAATAAAACTTTTGAAACTTATGATAGTCATATATATTTATGTTGCTATAAATCATCTATTTAAGGTAAAATAAATATTTTAAAATTAAATTGTTACTACTAAAAAGGAAATAATATCACATAAATTGAGAGAAGAGAGTAAGAAATTTTAAAATTTATGATCTAAACAAGTCATAACTTTTCGTAAACACAAAACCATGACACTTTTCTATATTAACCACTAATAATTTAACATTAAAATGTAGCTACTGCCTTATTTTAGATTAACAAATTATAAAAGTTTTTATTTTTTTCTCAAAATTTTGTGCTCAGTCAAACACCACCCTATAATTTAGGATGGATGGACTAACATGTTATTTAACATTTTTTGAGTTATATATTAATGCTATTATATGCCATTAGTATCTTTTAAGTGATGCGGTTGTGCAAGATATTTTTAGACTATCAATACATATGGCTTAGAGCCCGATTGGACATACAAATTTTTTGTTTTTTTCCAAACCAAAAAATTTGAAAATAATGTTTGGTTATCCATATCTTATCAATTTTTCCAATTTCACTTGAAAATGAATTTTCAAATTTGAAAAACTAGTTCTTACAAGTTTTTCAATTGAAAATGCATTTTCACTATTTTTTAATTTTATAAATTTACCCTATACTTTTAAAATTTATAAAATGACCCCATCAATTATTAACCTACAACTACCCACGTATTTTCCCTCGACTATCAAATGAAGCTACTACAACTGATAATGAACCCTTTTCTTGTGACGACTACCATGTTGCTAAACAATAGCATCTTTGATTGTTTATTTCAAGTAGTATAATTAAATTGGGACGATTTGATATTTTTTACAAGTTGTGGGGTATAAATTATATTTCATGGTTTTGCAAAAAAAGATATTCAAATATGTTGCAAAAATTATAACCAAACACAATATCATCTTCAATTCAAATTTTAGTGAAATTTCAAATTTGAAAATTTATTTTGGAATTCATGGCCAAACGCGTACTTAACCTCTATAAACATACTCAAATTCAAGTAAACACAACATATTACAAAAGTTAATGAACTTTATAAAATAATGATTTACAATAATTAAAATAACACATCAGTATATAACATTGGGTTTTTTTATAAACTTTTAAAATTGGTATAACCTACACGAACAATGCAACTTATTGTTCATTCATCAAGAGGAGGACAAGAACTTTAGAAAAGAAAAGTACAAGTTATGCGTTATTTTATTCTATATTAAAAAAAAAGTGGCCATCAATAATAAAAATGTGTATGTAAATGACCGCGAAGAGTGAAAATTTACGCGCCTTTTCCATAAAGCTCAAATCAAGAAATTTCAATTGAGAGTAAACATAAACCCTCAATTTATTTTCACGACCCCATCTTCCCACTTCGCCGTTGGTTTCCCTTTTATTCGGTAAAAAAAGCATAAAAACTACAAGCATAGAGGCCCCAATTCTTGTTGTTATCAATGGATTGAATTTGGAGAATTTGCTGGCTTTTTTCTGTTTTTCTCCAACGGTAAGAGTAGTCTGTTTATTTACTCAATTCTTTTCCTTCTCTGTTTATCATTATAATGCTTAATCTTTCTGGGTTTATCCAATTTCCTTTTCATTTTATTCATCAATTGCTAAATGTGTATGAAAAAGATGTCATTTTTTTAAAGAAAAAAACAGTCTTTCTATTATTTGCTATAATGGGTGTGTGCTAAATCCCTTTTCTCTGTGTATTCAATGAGTAGAAGTAGTGTGTTCATTTATTCAAATCTTTTCCTTGTGCTGTGTAACATTATAGTGCTAAATCTTACTGGGTTTATCCTATTTTCCCTTATTTGTTTCATCAAAGGCACCAAAAATGATGTCTTTTGATATTAAAAAAAATGGTCTTTTTATTATTTGAAATAATGGGTGTAGTTGATAGGAGTATAATTTTCCATGAATTACATCTTCCCTGTATTGTGGTCAATGAGGAGTTATAAGTCCGACCCAATTTGTCTGGAACCGAGTCCTAGTTGTTGTTGTTGTGGTTTAAGTACAAAAACAAGTGACTTTTGATAATCGTACAAGGCATGATAGATTAGTGATCATAGGGTCTTCATGATTTTTTTATTTACTTTAAAGATTGACATTGTTGTGGAAATGTTGGTTAAAGCAAGAGAAGGGATACTTGTAAATGAAAAATGATTATAAGTGAATGAGGTCATATTTCCCCTTTTGGTTGAAGAAGAAAATGAATTCAACAATTTAAGGTAAGCAAACATTTATTTTTGTGATACCAGACATATCTATTCAGAATGTGTGAATGCTAGCATCTGACAAATATGCTACTATTATTTTGATAAAATTGTATTGCAGTATTTCAGTCCAGCTCTAATCTTTAGTCATTTCTCATTGATTCTTTGCTTGAAGTGGATTCTTAGATTGCTATTACTACCGGTTGTTTTTTCGATTCGGTTTTCTTAGTATCTTGCTGTTCTTACTGCTTGTTGCCACTGCTTCTTTTCACTTTTCTTGAACCGAAGGTTTGTCGTAAACAACCTCTATCTTCCCATTATAGGGGGTAAAGTCTATGTATGCACTATTGCGGAAGCCAAATGTATATAGTGTGAATGAGTCACAACTACTATACCAAAAATTATGACAGCCACCAAATAATAAATAAGACAATAAAGCAACAATAAAAGGAACACCAGAATTTACGAGGTCCGGCCAATTTTGCCTACTTCCTCGGACACAACCAATATTTTATTCCACTCCAAAAATACAAGTGAAATACTACTAAAGAGAGCATATACAAATGCCTTAAGAAGATAAGAAGGCAAATGAAAGTGTATTTTAAATCCTAAACATTAGGCCTCCTTTTATAGGGAAAAATTTCCACCCTATTGTGTCCTCCACCGATGTGGGACAAATTTTGGCAATCAACAAATCTCCACCTTGGCAAAATTACACATCTTCAATTTTCTCTTAATAACAAATTTTAGTTGTGTCTTCATCTTCAATCTTCAGTGTTCAACAATGTTGATCAAATCCAAGCAATGTTGAAATTTAACCGTAGTCACCACTTTTGTCAGCATTATCAACAGGATTCTTCGTAGTATGAATTTTCTTTACTGTGTCTCCACTTTCTTCTATGATTTCTCGTACGAAATGATACCGAACATCAATGTGCTTCGTCCTTGCATGATAAACTTGGTTCTTCGCTAATTGAATAACACTTTGACTATCACAAAAAATTGTGATACTTTTGTGTCCAATACCAAGCTCTTTTAGCAATCCCTGAAGCCAAATCGCCTTTTTCACAGCCTCTGTAATAGCCATGTACTCTGCCTCTGTTGTAGACAAAGCAACTGTTGACTGCAAAGTAGACTTTCAACTAAGTGGTGCCTTTGCAAAAGTAAACACATGACCAGTAGTTGATCTTCGTTTGTCCAGATCACCCGCAAAATCTGAGTCATAATATCCAATTACAGACTAATTGCCTTCTTGCTCAAAAACTAACCTAACATTTACAGTATTATGAATATACCGTAGAATCCACTTCATAGCTTGCCAATGCTCCTTTCCTGGATTACGCATATATCTGCTAATAACTCTAACAGCTTGTGAAATGTCAGGTCTCGTACAGACCATTGCATACATCAAGCTACCAACAACATTTGCTAATGGTACCTTTGACATATACTTATGTTCAGCTTCATCTTTTGGCGACATAGTAGTACTTAGTTTAAAATGGGGAGCAAATGGAGTACTAATTGACTTGGTCTTTTCATCT